GCTAAAATTTCACAAATATCCAACTTAGGTTCTTCTAAAAAAGACTCTGAATATGAAATCGACGACTCACATTTTCGGACTGATGGAATCGACAGAATTTCATTCTGACACTTAAAACTCCAAAAGACATCGAAAACCACTTTTTAACAACTTTAGCCTTTTAAACTAAGAACTTACGAAAACCCACAACTTTTTACCTAAAGTTCCAAACCAACTTTCACAACTTAATCAGAAATAACTCGGGGTCAATATTGGGAGGGAAAAATAGTAAACTACCAAAAATGACCAACTGGGTCATTACTATAACATCTCGCAATTTGAAATAGCTAGGAAGATGCTAAGAACTGGAAATAGTCATTTTTGGAAATAATGAAAATCTGGAAATTTGTTTAAGTTAGGAAAAGTTGAGTTTTGGCCAACTTCAAACGTCCATAACTTCTAGCTCAGGATGAGTTAGAGGTACTTCAAGATATGGTAATAAAGATCTTGGAATTATCTTTCCAACGCCACTGAGTTTGCGCGATTCTGAGTTTGTATGAGTGAGTTATCCCCTTTGGAAGTTGGGCTGTTGGAATTAGGAAAGTCCAAATCCGAATTTTGGAAGGGTAATTTAGTCTATTCCCTACCTAATTATTCTAATTCGTTTTTAGGAGTTTAACAACTTTCACAACTTAATCAGAAATAACTAGGGGCCAGCAATGGTTCTCGAGTGTCAGTCTCTCCCAGGGTGTAGGCTCGGGGAGTGACAATTACGTTTACTTGAGACCAACAATGATTTCCGAGTGTCGGCCATGTCCAAGATGTAGGCTCAGAGCGTGACACATATACTTTATTTCATCATTTCTATAACATATATATATATATATATATATATTCTCAAGTAATCCATAACCTGCCTCAGCGCCAGGCTACTGTCTTAATAGTCATTCAACTTTGCTTTTTGTCCTCGAGTCAGAGTTTTAATGGAGAATCCACGAGGGGGATTAATTTATTAAAAATACAACAAACATAAGTTTAAACTCATGGTTTAAAAAGTACAAGGGGTTCAATACTAAGAACTTAAAAGATTGAATGCACCCAAGAGTGTTCAAGAAAATTTAATACATCAATTAATTAATGTAGCACTGCAACATTAGATAAGCTCTTCCATCAATAGGTGACATTTATCTTCAAGTTGTCAAGCAATTTGAGGCTGGATAGTTTCGTCTAATATGAGTGCTCTTAAATCATCATTTGTTATATTCTGAAAAGATAAATGTAGAGAAAGATAAATAGGTAAAAAAACAAACATATAACAACAACAATATATACAGAGTGTAATTTCATAAATGAAATCTATGGAGGGTAGAATAAAAATAGACCTTATTCCTACTTTTGTGGAGTAGAAAAAATATTTTTGATAAATTCTTAGCTTCGTCAAAAAGGAAAAGAATTCCAAGTATGAAAATAAGAAAATATGATAACAATATAGGAAGAAAACAAAGCAAATGTGAGCAACAGATAATGATACATATAAAAAAACAATGTGATACCTAAATAATACTATTAATAAGGAGAAGCGTAGTGGAGGCCGTTGATCGATGTGAGGCCAAATATATATATTTTTAATTATTATTTGTCTTACATTTATTATTTATATTTATTCTTTTTGAGCATTAATTTTATGGATTGTGCTAAATAGTGTATTTTATTTGTAGGAGTAAATTGACGTAAAGTTGAAGAAGTTTGGAGCTAAAATGAATTAAAGATAAAAGATTATAGAAGGAAATCAAGCAGACAGCTTAATGGATTAAATTAAATATAATAATATATAAAATTATATGCTGCAAAGTGCACATTCAAGTGGAAACTTGATTGGAGAATATTGCTGCCAGCCACGTGGCAGATTCTGAAGGCAGTGGCCAATTGAGGAGCTGCGCACAATCTTGAAGGCGGCGTACAGAACGCGTACAACAATTCCAACTCAGTTTTGGTTTTGGTTTCCTCGTTTGTTTTGGTCCCAGATATTTTATTTAGGTTTTTTACATCTATAAATAGTCCATAAAAATAATTATTGGACAATCAATATAGAGCAAGGAGGAGGCACTTTTGAAGAAAAAGTCATCAATACTTTTTAGGGTTCTTTACTTCTTCTTATTTTCTTAGACATTAGTAGCTAAAGCTCTTGTTCTGGGGCTGTAGCTACGGATTCAATGTTGATTATTTATGGTTTTTGAATTAATTCTTGGTTGTCATTATAAGTTACTTCTATATTCTTGTTTTAGTATTTTGTGCTTGATCACCATGAGATAAATATATTGTCTAATCTTAAAATCGGGAGAGGAGAGGTTAGATAGACCAGAGAATATAGAGAG